CTGAAGGCCAAGGTGGACAAAACAGAGAAGCTCCTCGTTGGTACGGCCGAGGAGATGGAGACGTGGAAGGAGAAGTGGGTGGAAGCTGCGAGGGACCTCGTCATCGCCAAGCAGACGGTCAAGGCAGCGAGGAAGAAGATGAAGAGATTGTGTGGTTTGCTGAAGAACGATGATGATATACCTGACACGTCGGTGGGTTTTCATTTCAGTCCCATATACTCATGAGCTGATAGTATATTTTGTTCGATAGAGTGTAGGCTACTCACCAACGGGTAGTCGAAGGGGAAGAAGGTCAACTACAAGGGGCCAGAGCAGGGCTAGTCGCGTGTGATTTCTTGGACAACACACGATTTCTTGAGCAATGGTGCCAGAACGGTCCACCTATACGATTTTTATTGCCTACTGAATGTTCGTGAATGTATATTATGAGATGATACCCTTGTACAACTGTTGACAGGCAATTCTTGGAATTTAGAGCAGCTTGCATTTGACGTTGGTCTTAGCACTCATCTGACTCGTATGAGTCTAAAGAGTCTATTCAGATTTTGGTATTAAGGTTACGGTATAAGTAGATCAAAGCGTGGAACTATCGACAATCAAAAAGCGCGAAAAACAGCCACAACGGATCGCAGGCGACTCTCACACAGCCTCTATCTTTTCACTAATCTTGTCGGTGATTCACACCGTAAGTGTAAAATATTCTGCTCGGAAGGATTCTGCGTAGATATGGCGCATATCCAACGTCTATAAGCCAAAACTGAAAAGAGCTGGGATTCTTCAGCGATCACTGCCAATAATCTCGATAATCTCGGTGAAACTTCCATATCGGGAAATTTCCTCACCTGAAAAATATAATAACACCGAATATCTCCAGCAAGTTGAGTTATTGGCTAACCTATTCCATTTCTTTTTGCTGTTCCTTCGAGCGGAATAATTTCCATTCCCGGTGTGATTGCCTCTTACCTAGGACTCGGGGTTTCCATCTTGCAAAAGGAAATCGTTATCCACTTCGAAACAGCACGAACTTCGAAGCGTATCTAATATCGCAGGCCAAGCCTCATTTGATTCGCACTGAAAGAGGAGAGTAAGGCGCTTGGGATTTGTGATTCAAAATTTCAAGTAATGCTCATACGAATTTTTGAGCATTCAGCTGATAAAATAATCGTGTAAGTAAACTTGATTCATTACGAATTTGCGGAAGCCTTCCGCAAGCACATGGTTGTCAGGAAGTAAGCGCCGGTGAGCTTCCAAGGAAATCTGATTTGATTCCCACCCTTTCCGCGACCACTACATAGGCACCTCGAAGCTAGCCTCGCTCACGCTGCCATGCGCCCCGGGAGATGATCGATGAACTGTTTCTGTAGCAAAGGAGAATATTAGGGACCAGGATATTGCTATGTGCGTCTCAATACCTTTTCTAGTGCCCAGACTAATTCCAGTCTCCTGTTCATGTATTGCTTTAGAGCTTCACAATCACCCCGAAACCTCATTAAAAATATTGAGATGCTTCTCTTTTTGCTACTCTGTCAGACAAACTTTACGGATACGGGATGTAGAGGCGCATGACCCGCCTTGCTGGACATCGAAGGATGCCTCGAGGTACGGAAACCAGTGCAAAAGGCGCCCATGCTACCGTCTCGACCTTGTTGCTGCATTGTACTGGGCTGGGATAGGCAAAGCTGTCAGGAGTACCATGCTGGTTTTGACAGTGTGCAGTACATCTTTATCACCCACAGTGACTCTACTGACAACTATCACCCACGATATACAGCATTGACTCAATCAATGTGGGTCCATTGTTGTCAAAGGAATACAACGCCGAAGTAACCAAATGAATAGAAGGGCGCCCCAATCTGCGCATCGCCACGAGGACAATAGACTTCTCAATTCGTCAGATGCTTTGGACCCACAGTGCGTCTATTTAACCCCCGAAACTCTGATTCCTTCCTCACTTTCATGCCTACTTGTTGCTCCATCTTTCGCAAGCCCACCAGCTTCAACTTTTTTCCCATGGCCTCCCACCATCATTGTCACTGTGCTCAACACGAAATCGAATCTCAGGTAAGTTTGTGTGGCGGTCACCTTTTTACCCAACTCCTCTAATTCGACCTGGCAATAGCTTCGCTCGGCCTTCGATCCTTCGCGTATCGCTGAAGTTCTTTCCCGGAGCCATGACTGTTGCGAACGCGAGCATCAGGAACACTTAACCCGTATCGCAAGTCTAAACACCCAACTGGAAAGTCTACAAGTGCGTTACGAAGCGGCTCAAGCTACGATCACGAACCACAATCGGGTTGAACACTCCCTTCTCGAGGCCAACCGTCGTATCGCCGAACTCACCGCTCAGTGTGATGGTTTGGAGGCCAACCTTGAGGCTTCCAGGGAGAAGAATATTATACTGGAGGCCAAGGTGAACAAATCAGAGACGCTGTTTGCTGGCACCGTCAGGGACATGAGAATGTGGAAGGAGAAGTATGAGGAAACCGAGGGGGACCTTGCCATTGCAAATCAGAAAGTCAAGGCGGCGAGGAAGAAGACGAAGAAGTTGTGCAGCATGCTGAAGTGTGACGATGATATTCCCGACATCTCAGTATGTTTCCCTTCCTACTAGGCCTACACCTTTACTGACAAGGCTCCCTTTTTGATAGAGTGTTGGCTATTCCCCCACAGGTAGTCAAAGAGGCAGAAGGAGATCGACAACAAGGGCCTAGTCACGGATGATATCACGAATGAGTTTCTTGGATGATTATTGATCTTTATTTCTTGGACGGTGCCCAAACAGCCCACCTACGATACTAAACGGCTTATATACTTGACGACTAGATGTTTATGAATGTATGTTATAAGATACCCTCGAATGAATCTTGACGAATAAAGCGACCTTTCCAAACACAAATCTTGCGTCTGCCATCATCGGGTCGGGACGACAAGCACATGTTTGAGTAGTATGAGTCTAAATAGTCTATTCACATTTTGGTATCAACATTATGGTATGATAGATGAACTGTATCGCCAATCAGTGGCTGTCAAAGCGCAAAAACAGAGCCACTGGATTGCAGGTGGCTCCGGCGGCTCTCACACAGCCGCCTGTATCTTTTCGTTAATATTGTCGATGACGTCCTCCACCTTGGCCTGGGGGCTTCTTGCAATGCTTGTTGGCGAGCATTGGACATACCCAGGTATGCATTTGTGCGCAAGCGTCACTCGAGGCTAGCAAATAAATACTAAATCGTCAGAATGATCCACAACGCGAAGCTACTATCGGCGATAATTCCGAAAATGTTCTGTGCCCCGGGTTTCTCAGTACTGCATCAACCGACAGCTTTGTACACACATACTAATCATTGAGAGTCCAAGTAGATACACCTCAATCTCGGAGGCTGTATGGTTAGGTGCAACAGATATGTAATTGATAGCAATACTTGGGATGTGGACATTAGTCGAGCACTCATTTGAGCCGTGTGGGTCTGAAGGGTCTATTCACATTTTGGTATTAACATTATGGTATAAGTAGATGAAAGCATAAACTGTATCGACTGTCAGTGACTGTCAAAGGGAGAAAAACAGAGCGGACTCGCAATGAGTCGCAGGCTCTCAAACAGCCTCTTTGATTTTTTCACCAATCTTGTCGGTGATCTCCTCTACCTTGGTCTCGTGGCTTCCTTCTTGCAAGGCCTGTTGACGGGCATTGGCTACACTCAGGTATGTGTCTGGGCGCAAGCGTCAGGACATATAACCCACGAAAGAAAGGGCATAACATACTCCAGAATAAACTGACAACGCTAACCACCACAAATCGTAGGTGGTGCGGAACGATGGAAAAGTTGATGATCTGCGTAGGAATGAAGACACCCCTGCAAAGTTCGGATCGTTAGCATCCTTCTCTGGAGCAGAGGACTTGTAGGATTCACCAGTTACGAATCAAAGTTGGGGCATAGGCCTACGAAAAGGAGAATGAGCAAATGGCTTCCGTGACAAACTTGTAATCACGTACCGATTGAATCCTGGGCCAAGCCTCCTGGGGCTTTCCTTCCAAAACACTCATCGAGCCGAAGAAGAATGCGACGGCGACTAGATATCGCGTAATGGGTTAGCGACCATTTGTTCCGTCCGCGAGACAAGATGCATGCTTACCTGGTGTTAACATTGCTTGATCCAGCCATACCTATGTGCAAGGCCATTCAGAATCGGACGACAACGGGATAGAGTGGAGAAGGATGTACCCTATACACAATCGCACGCGTAGGACTAGCAAACTTGATGCGGTTCAAAAATTGAAACCATTTGGTGATGGCAGGGCCAAAGAGCGCACCTACAAAGATTCCTATCAGTCAGCCGTTGTCGTTCCCGCGCACAAAAAACGAGGACGTACCTCCATAGAACACCAGCCTCCCTGTTCTCATGAACTGTCCGGGGCAAGACACATGAACAAAATTTTTCACTTTAGCGTGGCAGGACACTCACGTCGTGGTCCTTTCCCCTCTTCTCAACAGCCTGCTGAGCAATAACATCTCCGGCGCCGAACAAAAATCCAGCTGTAGCGCATTGCGCAAGCATAGGCCGTCTTATCAAGGCAGCACTGCGAATCCGAATCCATGAGAAAATGTCATTTCGAGGGCCATAAGATGTGAAGCGAACTTGTATGCTCTGAGGAATGAGGCCATTGGGGTCGATTTTTTGGGGGTGAAAGAGTCGGGGTGAAGGTGGTGGGAGACGTCAAGAGGACGTGGAAAGAAAACTAACCGAGATTGTGGGGCAGAAATTTGCGTAACAGATGGCCCGTGCGCGCGTATATGGTCGAGTAATACGCCGTGTAAAGCCCATTGTCACAACTTCCAACGGCCTGATGGTCTAGTAGCATGATTCTTCCTTCGGGGTCCACCCCGAGTCGTATGACTCATAATCATGCATAATCATCGGAAGACGAGCTGTGATTGCACACCTCGGAAAACTTAGTCTCTGTCGTCTTTATTCAAGGCGCGCAAGGAACAGCCTTCAACGGCCTAATGGTCTAGTAGTATGATTCTTCCTTCGGGTGTTTCCCGGTCACTACAGTGACTCCATTGGAAGAGGTCCTGGGTTCAATTCCCAGTTAGGCCCAGTTTTTAGTGCTCGTTGACTGACTCGAACTTTTTGTACTACATGATATGCTACATAACTCTAACGGTATAGAAACATTGCCAACACCCCCATCATACTCTCCTCTAGCTGGTCCGCACCAGGCTCCTCGTCTTGCTCCAATTCATCTTCCGAATCTGCCTCAATTTCCGTCTTTTGAGACGCCATCTTTGCATAGTGCTTGTGGTCTTTGCAGGCGTTGGACAGCATATGTCGGCGAACGTCAACGAGATCATCACCACTAGGCCGCTGTGTTCAATACCGTTTACATCAGATACACGCGGCAACTCACTCGTAATCACCAGAGGGACAATGAAACTTGTCCTGCTCATACTCGATTTCGCGTTCAAGCTCCATCCAAGGAGTGTGAGAGATGAGGCTGAGGGTGGGATTAGGAATGAACAATGACGACAGCTACAAACGCACATGTGTTCTTTAAAGTTGCCTCGCTGGTTGGCCGGAAATGTTGGCCTCTTGTAGCCTTCCTTATCTGCATGCCAAGGAACAATTGGGCACCAAGGACACTCGTAGCGACCTGGAAACAGGACGAGTTTGTTATGAAAAGATAAAAGTTGGCGTAACGTACCTGTTTTTCCATTTAGGGCGCCCTTGATAGCTTGATCTCGCTCGAAAGGGGCGACAAGATAGTTTAAAAACTCTCTTTGGACCACAGCAATAGGAATCTCTGCAAGCTCTGGCATGTACTCTTTGGCAAGAGCACGTTCGCTCTTCTCCCTCGATGACATGTTTATGCCCTCGCCGTCGACGTCGACCTCTGTCTCCTTCTCGGTGCGATATTCGTCAAGAGAATGATACGTCGACTTTACGCCGCCGAGGTTGAACATGCGCTGGAGGTTTTGGTTCATGGTTGAACCTTGATTCGCCCAGTCGCCGAGCTCTTCATCGTCAAAGTTGTCGTCGTCTAGAATATACATTAGCATCGTAAACAGCTGTCAAAAAGACTCGACTCGCCTGGCTTTGACGAGGCTTGCTGAAGGATCTGGGTCGTGATGGTATCCGTCTCCTTCAGCGAGTCAATTGTGTCTTGAACCTCTTGATAGGTAGTATCAAAGCCTTTGCGGTAGTCGTCGCGGATTTGTTGGCCAGTCTTTTTCTTTAGTTTCTTTGTCGTCTGGCGCCGCTTGGACTTTTTCTCGTCGTACAGGTTTTCGAGCTCTTGGAATACCTTGATCGAGGATGAGATGTTTTTGCGTACGGGGAAAAGTCGGCAACATACCAGCATACCGGCCTCTCTCTGACCTTCGTTCCACTGAACACCTTCCTCAAACTGTTCGAGAACATATTTGAACTGGGGAACCTCGCCATCAGCTTGCTTGACAAGCTTTGTTGCCAGTGCACGATCCCGGGATGCTCTACAAGCACCAATAGCATCGTTGAAATGTGGCAAAAAGCGAGTCCACGCGTTGCTAATGCGTTTTTCCACGTCTTGCATGCCGGGGTCGTTCTGGGACTCGTCAGTACTTGCGCGTAGGTTTAGAACTTTAACAGAAAACTTGCATCAGCATGATCGTTCCGAGCCTTGCGCAGTGCTTCACGTTCCTCGAAATCTTGCGCATTCCCTCCTCGGCGTCCGTGATAAAGCTTCCGTTGACCGGCAAGATCATTTTCGTTGGCGATAGCCTTGTAGATTGTGTTCATCTCGTTGAGGGTCTGGTCAACAGTTAGTACATGCACTCGGTACGCTCATCAAAGACTTGCCCTTTCGGCATAGTCAAGGTCAGTGCAGACCAATGCCTCGTATCCTGCCTCTGCAAGAGCATTGGATGCTTCACCACGTGCGGCTTCGGCCAAAAGAGTTTGTGCAGTATGAAGATTGCGACCGTTTCGCAGATAATGCTCGCTACTCTCATTGAATGTTGGTAGGTACTGCTCCCAGAGTTTGTCGAGCCTTTCTTGTCTTGCCGTCTTGGTCGGGTCATTCTTTGGGCCACCATTAGCGATGAAAAGATATCAACAATCAAGAACCTACTTCTATCGCCTCAGTTTGTTCGGCAAGTCTTTGATTCTTGCTGATAATAGCATAGACGGCAGCACGAGTACGATCTTCTTGAGGTCGAGAAGGCTAAATCAACATTAGATTGCTATACCTAGTCGAGAGAGAGAGAGACAACTGACAAAGTGTCGTTCGATCGGCTTACGCTCGCCCATCCGGAGCATCGTCCAGTTGTAATTTGCAGTGTTTTTCGAGTAGTGCCCAAAAAAGGTGTCCTTGATGACATGGTTGAGAAGGATCTTGGCTCCTTCCTTTCCAGCAATGTCGTGCCACTGTAAAACCTGTCAGGAGGAGATCAAACCAAGATGAACCGAGCCCACCTCATTACCGGCACCATGACGAATAGCATAAACTCCACCGCCCGGCAAGTTTACGGCCAATGCAGCTTCACTGATCATCTCACCAATAGCATGAGCAGTAAGTGGTCCCTCGGTGTGACCGCGACCTCCAGGTGTTCCCTTTGGAAACCTAAGGAAAATGTCAGCCAGGGTCTGAGAACGCCGTCAAAAAGGCACTCACAATGGGTCCTTTAGTCTTTCTGGGTTGAGCTTGATGTCGCTCATTGTTTGGTCCAGGACATCATTGATAGACTAGCGAGTCGCTTTAGTCAAGAGCATATCAAGACAAACTGGGCTTGCCTTGTATTTCGGGTCAAGGTAACCAATCATAAACATGTACGCAATAAAGTACATGACCACACAAAGCGTAATGTTGTGTGCGAGTTCCAGAGACTCTAGCACATAGACTTGGCTTACTCCGGTAGCCCCGTTCATGCCCTATGATAGTCATGTAAGCAAACTTGACGTGGGTTGAGTGACAGACGTACCTTGAAATTGCGCATAGTTAACCGCAAGCTGAATTTTCCTGGGCCAAGCTTGGTAATGCGAACATCTTCCACACGAGGATACTGTCCAAAAGCAAGTGAGTGGTGGGCTCCAACGTATCCTAAAAACATACCTTTCCCTCTAGTGCGTATTGCGGATGAGATGGTCCCATGGTCCCTGGTCGAAGGGCGAGAACCAGCGCAAGGTCAGTGATGACGCAAACCATGGTCTTGTTCACCCTGGTCGCTTCCTTGCGGTCCGATAGCGCCAACAATTTGGCAAGAATCATCCGAACTTCTGCAATGTCGTAAAAGATGAGGGGGTCGTGATAGCGATCAAGCTCATATCTCCGAATTACTGGACACGAGCGTCAGCTTGCAAGCCATCTAGAAAGCAGAGAACGTACATGTCATACTAGAATCCCTCAGCGTGGTATACATGCCACCTTCCATCAAGAGCTTGGCGCCGGCGTTTGGAGAGGTTGGCGTGCGACAGTATCGTACGATGCATGTCGTCAACAATGCGACATGGGCAAGGAGGGTCCGTGACTTTATCGTGGCTCGTCCATTCCTGGGTTGAGAGACTTTGAGCTGGGGACACGTCAGACAAAGAAAAGAATAATGATCATGTATGCGTACCTTCCACACCAAGAATTCGCAACCATACTGCTCGATGAGCGCTGGGGTCCACAAGTTTTCATCGGACGTCTCTCTCGTGATGTAGTGTGTCAACAGATCCGGACGAGCGGTAGAGACGAGATAAGCTAGTTCTGCTGCGATTTCAACAGCATTGTAACGCGCCTGGACCTCTGGACTAGTGTTGATCCCGTGTTTGAGCGCATACTCTGCAGCGGAACGCAGCTCGTGAAAAAGTCTCCAATCCATCTCGAATTTCCGGCGAGCATCCCTAGTAAGCGGACTCTCTGAATGTTCAAGCTTGTTCTGAACAAAGTCGTTGACTTCGGCATAGAGGGACACTAGTGCCTCTTGAAATGTTGGCTGTGGTTGATCGCTAGAGGTGCCAGCAGCGGCTGCCTTTGCAAGAGCTTCTGCTTTGGCAAGAGATTGGATTCGATTGACAAGTTTGATTCGACGGCGCTCAAGCTCATCTTGTGAGGCAGGTATGGGCTTCAATGATGGACCGACGACGACGGCTTTGGGAAAGAGATGAGGACACGTGTCGACGACGGAAAATTTTCACACAGCTTACCTTTTGAGGCCGTTGGCGCCGAGCTAGGACCTGATAGCCGAGGTGAACAAAAAAGAGAGTCTATGGATAATTGCAAGGCATACCTGGTGGGTCCATCGTTGAGAGAGGTGGTGGTTCAAGAAGAAGAAGAGCGTTGTTTGTGTATGCCAAATTTTGAGAACGCGTGATTCATTATCAATACGATGGGTACGATTACAATCCAGAGTGGTATCTACAGTCCATTGAGTCCATTTCTGTTTACAATCCATTTCTGTTTACAATCCATTACTGTTTAATGAGAGTAGTACAAGTCCTATGGAAACACCCATGATGGAGGTGGCCCCCTCTGCTGGAGAGGCGCCTGAATGTTGATTCGCTGCTGTGCCGAATCCACGTCCATAGGTACCCGGTGGTGTCCAGTCTGGGCTGGAAGACGCTGCATATATGCCGTGTTCTCCGGGGTTGGTAGCCCAAACGACTGACTGTACTGTGGACGTGTTGGTGTCTCTGGCACCTGAGCTTGGGGCACTGCCACCAGGCCGAGTGGTGTATCATTCGCATACCCTTTACAATCAATCAGACCCAAGTTGAACGTGAAAGAGCAAGGCATGCGCATACCATTCTTCCAAACTAAAAGCTGAGCCTCACGCTCAATCGCCCGCTCTCGCCTGGTCATGTATGCTTCCAACCTGGTGACAATCTCGAGCTCGGACGCGACGGCAGTCTCCAAACGAGTGACGTATTCTATCTGTTGCTCTGAAAGGACAGACATTTGAACGATCGCGTCGGTGATTCGTTCAGAAGCGGTAGAAGCTGGAGGCTTTGTTGTCGACTCTCGAGCTCTCTTGTGAGATTTCGGAAATAGGCAGGTAGACAGTTTCGTCAGTTCATTGCACTGGTCAAAAGTTTTATGTACAGGCATATTTCATCAGTTCATTGCACTGGCCAAATCTTCC